TGTTTCTGTGTCCATTTGGAGATTAAAGTGTACAATCCAATCCGCACACCATACTAAAGTTAATAAAATGGCGATCGCCACCCTGTGTGTACAAGTGGGTGCTGCAGCGCCCGTCAGCTGGAACCAAACAGAATCTGCTAGGGAGAATGTCACCAGCACACCAAGGATCAGCAATAGTGGGTCCAAACGTTTGGATGAGACGCCGCTACATAGTTACCAGCAAGGCAAAATTTTCGGAGTCTTCGCAGGACCCATTCATCATGGATAATGACCATTTAAATCCGCTGCTCCTTGTAGAGCTTACAATCTAGTCATAAGATGCCAGGGTTGGGGTTTCACCTTAAAATACATAGGAATTTGTGGAAACCCCATGCTTTTTTTTTAATGGGTTGTGGTTATGTGTGGGGTCCCCTTAAATTCAAACTTTACCTAAAGGGCCTGGTATATGCATATTATGGGGTGAGAACCATGACATTTTTAGTTTTTATTAACTTCCCCATGATGGGGATTCTCCAGTGCAGTACAATTGAATGAGGTCAGTGATATCACTGGAATGCTACAAATAAGTTGGTGGGTGTATCTTTGCACTCACTGCTTTCTTAACAACCCTATTGACAGTGGAAGAAGGAAGCAGTCATATATAGTAGTGGGAAAAAAAGTGCTACTATATTGGTTATTCAGCTCCTGCTAAACAGACTGAAAGTCTGGCACTAGGATTGAACACGCAAACAAGTAAAGTTCAGTCCAAGCCTGTGTTGAGACTGAACTAGGAGTTCATACCTAGTTCAGATTCTTTTTACACATTGTTAGCACCTTTTTAGTTTACCACCAATTGGTCTATAGCATAGGTTACAAAAAAATAGGGTAGTACATAGGTAAATAATGTTTCCCTCTTCTTGCCAGTGTAATGCATATACTGCATGTGGTAGCAGGGTAGGTATGCCTGAATGTTCAGTAGCCACACATTTAGACCAATCAGTATCAAAGTTCTGTGCCAAGAGTGTGCTCCAGCTATAGCACACTGACTGAGCTGTATATAACAACTTCCAGATACTGTTTATGTTAGCCAATCAGAAATATTGCCAGTGGCACTGATTGTTTGGGAAAAACCCGACAGGCTGCTGGCTGTACAGATGTTGATCGGCATATTGACTTCTGTACAAACCAGCTTAACCCATACATGGATCAAGTTATTATTATAATACTGGATTTATATAGCGCCAACAGTTTGCACACAGCACTTTACAATCTGAAGGCAAACAGTATAGTTACAATACAATTGAATACTGGAGGAATCAGAAAGCCTGCTCATTAAAGCTTACAATCTAAAAGCTCCATGGGTCCCTGCTGAAACTGGCTGAATTTTGATCTATGTATGGCTGCCCTCAGATGTGATGGCTGACTAGGTCTTTTTTCCAAGTTTTTCCTTTATTTTTACCTCTTTATGCTGCCGGAAAAAATAGGACTACAGATTCCTCAACTCTGCTATTGACATAACCTGGTTCTGTAGTCCTCAGGGAACAATGTAATTGATAACAGTCTCCCTAAAGCACAGAAAAATTATCAGCTCACAAAATTTCTAACAATATCAACATTTTTTTTTAACTTAACAAACAGATATAACAACACTCTTTTACATTTCAAATATGTTTTTATTAAATTTAGTAAAAATTTATAAAGAGAAATTGAGACAAGTTATAGCAGTAACCGCAGTCCAAGATAATTTATTGCATAACAATAATGCTTCTTGAAAGGTTCCATCACAGTTCAGATCTATACCTCACAGCATTAACAACAAAATATGTATAAATCTGAATGAACAACCATTTACAATTATATACCCTAAGGATATGCCTTGATTCTTAAGCAGACATTTTACCATTATCTGATAACTGCTATGTGTGAATAAAGAAAACACAGAGAATAAATGGAGTACAGAAGCCAAAGCAGACTCGAACTTCACACTCACTGGGGAGCCTGAGCCAGAAGCTCGGATTGACTTAAACCTGAAGGATAATAAACAGTTATAAAGTCTTTTCTAAATGCAATCCAGGGTGTGACCAGTGTTTATAAAATTTCATTAGACAGCCATGTTTCATAAGCCATAATTTGCTGTATTTGTGTATATTTTCAGCAGGTGTTTTAAACACTTCTCCAAGTCTTGGGGCCATAAATAGACTTCCACTTTCACATTAGAACTAGGCGTGCAGCAACAGCACATGCATGGTTATAGGTCTTAAGTCAGATGGGAACTTATCAAGGTCAACGCCTATAGCCTTTTGGGAAGTTAGTATTTGAGATGATACCTGTTAATTTCACTATCAAATGAAAGATGGAATTCCAGTAACTGCATACATGTGGGCAATACCACCAGCATGTGAAATAATGTACCTACTTGTCCACATCCTCTCCAATGCAGGTTAGAGTTATGCGAATGGTGTTTAACCAGAATATACGGTTATATAATACCATCTGAGATGGAGCTTCTGTGCCATTTCCCAGTGGGTTGAACACTGAGAATCAGCTAAGTGAATCATAATGAGTTTATGTCATTGTTGGTCAGTAGTAGGGGTATCTAAGTCCAAAGACCATTTTTATCAGTGTGTTGGATTTGACCAAGGTAAATTTAGCATGTAAGTTGTTGTAGAAAAGGAAAATACTCTTACATTTTGGAGTGGGTTCATGCCAAAACTGCCTAAATAGACTGAGGTAGAACTAAGTCTACCATAGGATGTTTCTGTAGATATGATGATTATCCAGGCATCTGTTAGGAATCCCCAAGCTAGTAAGTTATACTTTATGGCTAGCCTTTCAAATGGTACAGGTCCGTTTTTTTTTTTTTCGAAAATGTCAGCTACTTTGGTAATCCCTTAAAATTCCCAATGTTTGAGCGAAATGTAAGGAAGAAGAAATTTAAGTACTGGGAGGGGTAAAGGGATGGTAACCAGTTAATCAATATTTATTTCCCAAAATGTAAATAATATTTTTCATGCCATTAAAGTTGCAGAGATAGCGGGATGCTCATGACCTACACTATATTGCCAAAAAATACTGGGACGCCTGCCTTTACACGCACATACACTTTAATGGCATCCCAGTCTTAGTCCATAGGAGTCAATATTGAGTTGGCCCACCTTGACCCAGCTATAGGAGCTTCAACTCTTCTGGGAATGCTGTCCACAAGGTTTAGGAGTGTCTCTATGGGAATGTTTGACCATTCTTCCAGAAGCGCATTTGTGAGGTCAGGCACTGATGTCGGACCATAAGGCTTGGCTCGCAGTCTCTGCTCTATTTCATCCCAAAGGTAATCTATCGGGTTGAGGTCAGGACTCTGTGCAGGCCAGGGAAAATTCCTCCACCCCAAACTTGTTTATCCATGTCTTTATGGACCTTGCTTTGTGCAACTGGTACACAGTCATGTTGGAACAGAAAGGGGCCATCCCCAAACTGTTCCCACAAAATTGGGAGCATGAATTGTCCAAAAAATGTTTTGGTTTGCTGATGCCATAAGAATTCCCTTCACTAGAACTAAGGGGCCAAGCCCAACCTCTGAAATAAACCCCACACCATAATCCCCCCTCCACCAAACTTTACACTTGGCACAATGCAGTCAGGCAAGTACTGTTCTCCTGGCAACCGCCAAACCCAGACACGGTCATTAGATTGCCAGACAGAGAAGCATGATTCATCACTCCAGAGAACACGTCTCCTCTGCTCTAGAGTCTAGTGGCAGCAGGCTTTACACCACTGCATCCGATGCTTTGTATTGCACTTGGTGATGTAAGGCTTGGATGCAGTTGCTCAGCCATGGAAACCCATTCCATGAAGCTCTCTGTTGTGATAATCTGAAGGCCACACAAAGTTTGGAGGTCTTTAGCTATTGACTCTGCAAACTGTTGGGTGACTTCTGCGCATGCTCTGACCACACTCATTTTCTATGGACTACCGCTTCGTGGCTGAATTGCTGTTTCCCAGTTGCTTTCACTTTGTTATAATACCACTAAAAGTTCACTGTGAAATATGTAGTAGCAAGAAAATTCAGACCTAAACTGTTGTACATAATGTAATAATCACATAATTTAATAATCACATAATGTCCTAGTGGATAGTGCTCCTCAGTGAGACTAGCATGTCTTTTTAAGTTGTATCAAGCACTGGCTGACTGCTGGTAGGGAACTCCAAAATGGAGTCCTGTAACTCCCTGGTATCATTCAGGCACATGTTGAGATCACTCACCTCTAATGCAGGCTCAAAAGGTAGAGTCTTCAGCTTAGCCTTGAAAGGGCTGGAGGAGGTAGATGAACTTTGTGAAGACGGTCCTCTATAGTGCTGAGAGAGGTTATAATCAGTGGTGGAATGCTGCATTGTTCTCTCCCCTGCAGCGGATTGGCTATTCTCTGGGCAGTGAGAGCTGCCGGCACCATCTTGGTTAGTGCAGCGTAGGGGCAGAGGGAAAAAAATCCATCATCTTGTCCGGTTGTTTCCGATCTTTCCTTATGCAGGACATGAAGACTAGGTGTTCCGACTCTGTAGTCACTGAAACCGCAGTTCCTGGATGTCCCATGTGCCTGTAATAAGCTCTGGCTCGCCGTCAGTGTGTTAAGTCAAGAGGTCATCTTCTTTGCCAGCCAGGCATGCCCAACAAAGCACTTTTAATAGTATTTTTAAGTTCACCTTTGTGAACATGTTACATGTTTCACTTGTTTTTAGGGTGGAACATGTAACATGTTCCCACTGCTGCAGCTGATGCCCGATACAATCTCTCCCTGTGACAGCAGTATGGGCAGAAGTTCCCATACTAGCTGTCACTGTTTGAAAACAGTGTGGCCATGTGGGGCTCCTCCCACAAGGCCGCGTCCTTCATTCACAGAGTTTTGTGAATTAATGAACTACAATTACCAACATCCTTTGTGGATGTAGTTCTCAATGAACTACCATGGCGCTGTTGAGTGCTGTGATAGTTCATTGAGTTTTTCCTGTTAGTATAAAACTGTCTACCCCAGGGGCGGACTGAAAACTCATGGGGCCCCCGGGCAATAGGGGATCATGGGGCCCCTGTGTCCTTGCCCAAACTCAAAAAAAGCCTATGAAATAGGTACTAGGGGCATCTCATGGGGCCTCCTCCTGACCCCAGGCCCTTGGGCAGTGCCCGAGTTTCCAAATGGTTAGTCCATCCCTGGTCTGCCCATATGAGGTATGAGCACACAGATTACACTGACTGCAGTCTGCCGGAGAGCTGTATGGCACCAGCGATCTGCTGATTGTTGGTGCAATGTGTTCCAGGCTAAAAAAATTGCAAATGCACATTTTTTTACCTGTGCATTTTTTTTTCACAAGTGAACATGTCTTTTAATTTTTTAGGGTTTACACAAACTTAAAGTGACATTGTCAGGTTATCAGAAACTGAGGCGAGTAAAAATACCTTTTTTTGTAGGGGGGGTCTTTTGTCTGTACTCTTTGAAACAGGTCACTTTTACCTGTTGGAACGGAAAAATAGGGGCTGCCACTGCTGACTTGTTTTTGAAGATACAAGTACCAAGACTATCATTCTTGACATTACTTCTCTACTTCACGAAGCACTGACCCAAGAGCAAGTATGTGCTACATGTTAGGTGTCATGAAAAAATGTTTAACTAAAACCAAACCAATCCAAAATCCATTTCTTTTGACTTATGTAGATATGGCATTTTGTACTTGGTACATTAGAACTAATAAAACATGCAGTACAATATTCACTCAACAGTTAGTTACTAATAATCTGCTTAAAGCTTTTAATGAAACCTTGACTTTAAGTCAATTAATCTGCGTACATACCTGCAAAAAAGCCTTGGCCAATACTAGCTCCTCATGTTTGAAGCACATGCGTGAAGGGACTTATAGAGAGGCATCTTTGTAGATATAGGTTTGCATAAATGAAGCCTACTCTTTCTACATTTATGCCATAGTGGCATAAATATCACATGAGGCTTTACATTAACGGTAATGTTAGCACAGTATATTTACATGGAGAGATTAATTTTAGAAAAAGTAAATATGCAGAGCCAAAAAATAGTAAGGATGTCTAGGAATTTAATTTGTCTTCACTTGTGAAACAGTTTCTTGGTGGTAATGATGTGCATGCATTTTTATTATTCATGTATGTTTTAGAACAGAGTGACAGGATGAAAGAAATCCGATAAAGAGAGCAGCAGACATGTGAAGAAGGAAACTGGAAAGTTGATAGTGTAGCACAAGCCTGTGTAGAATGCTAATCAGCTGAAGACTGAACAAAGCTGCATTATGTTTCTACAGGGAAGACAATAATTGCATTAAAAAAGTGATATTGACCCAAATATTGAATGAATTTAAGCAAGGGTCTTCTTAAAGCATTTTCTTTTTTATCTAAAAGAGAAAGGAATGTGCTTTACATAAATTTTTGTAGCTTGATAATAAACATTTAAAAGAGTTTTTTTTTTTATTTTTATTTTTATTAAAATAAAATAATAAATGGTATTGCACAGAGCCAATGGCTCCTATTGCTCTGAACCTGTGAGAAGAGAGAGAGACCAGCACTTTGGTAGAGGATATGAGTTAAAGAATAACTCTGGGGATTAAAGTAAGGGGATGGTTAACTGTTGGAAAAAACTTACATGTTTGGGACACCTAGCACAGGTTAGTGTTTACTTATATTTATATTTAGCTTTAGCTTTTTATAGTATTTACTGTATATGTTTCTGAACAAACAATATAAACACTTTAAAGGCTAAGTCCAAAGTAAAAAATAATAGTAACTGCACATATATTTGCAGAAAACAAAAATGTGTTTTTTGATATTTTTTCTATTAGTAGCCTGTAAAGCATTGCACCCACAATTAGTGGATTGCGGGTGCAGTGTGAGGCTCCTGTAGACTCTTCCACAACCTTTCTTTCTGTGAGGTATGTTGTTTTAGTTGGAGAACTGGAGGAAATGTCAGTAAACTATGAGTACAATGACTACCACACACACACGTGTTCCATTGAGAACTACTGGCTGTCCAGCTGCTGCAGTTCATTTATTCACACATCTATCTGAATGAATGATGTGGCTGTACAGCAGAAACCCCCACAGTCACGCCAATTTACAAAAGTGAAGAAGAACCCCCACAAGCTTTCATAGGTGACATTGTTGCATGTTTTGCCTCAAATTCAGAGACTTTGTTGCGATTTTCAATTATATCTAGAGGTAGAATTGCTTTATAGTACATGCAGCTAGAAACATTAGATATGGCTTGTTGTAAAGCTCCTTTACTGATTTTTAGATGTAACTACTTTAGTGTCCATTGTCTTATCTCAGTGCTTTATTTTCTCTTGATTTAACTAAGCTTGGTTTTTTTTCAACCATGTTGTGCCTCAAGGCTGAATTATCTGTTTTTAACCACTTCCCGTGCCGCCCTATAGCAGATATACTGCTACAGGGCAGCACGGGAGCGCAAAATCATGTATATATACGTGATTTTGCATTTTAAGGTAGGGGACACAAGTAAGCCACTCATCTGTGCTACCTGCACCACCATTCATGGCCATGACTGTTAATCGCCGGGTCCTGGCCTGTGATTTCTCGCTATCTCCGATGGGGAGGAGAGCTGTTTTGTTTACTAACAGTTCTCCTCCCTGTCAGCTTGGGCACAGCCATCCAAAGCATTGTACTTACAGTGAAGCCCCCTGACACAGCCCCCTAGTAAAACACCCCCAGCACACAGTTAACCCTTTGGTCACCCCTCATGTTAACACTGATCACTGTATTAGTTGCATTGGGGATTTCATTACACCAAGTTATTTCTCCCAAAGTCCCACAGTCCCGCTATAAGTTGTTGATTGCCGCCATTACTAGTAAAAAAAAAAAAAAAAATCTATACCGCCATTTGTAAAAGCTAAAACTTTCATGCATTACATTATTACATTACATTACATTGAGTTTATATAGCGCCAAAGGGTTTGCTCAGCGCTGTACAATAGAGGGGGGGACAATACATGAAACATTACAGCAGCTACGAACAGCACACGAGGGGTAAGAGGGCCCTACTCTTTCGAGCTTACAATCTGGGAGGGAGGGGGGTAGTGGTACAGGAGGAAGTGGCTGTGGGGGATGGAGTGGTAGGAGGAATGAAGGAGAGCAGCAGTTAGGTGAGGGTGGGGTAGGCTTCCCTGAAGAGGTGGGTTTTCAGGGAGCGCCTGAAGGTGAGGAGGGAAGGTGACAGTCTGATGGATTGGGGTAGTGAGTTCCAGAGGATGGGGGAGGACCTGGAGAAGTCTTGCAGACGTGCGTGTGAGGAGGAGACCAGGGAGCAAGATAGAAGGAGGTCCTGTGAAGCAAGAGCGAAGGGTACGGGTAGGGTGGTACTTGGGAATCAGGTCGGTGAGGTAGTTAGGGGCAGTGTTGTGAATGGCTTTGTAGGTCAGAGTGAGTAGTTTGAATTTGATGCGTTGGGCGATAGGGAGCCAGTGGAGGGAGAGGCAGAGGGGGGTGGCAGAGGTGGAGCTGCTGGTGAGGTGGATGAGTCTGGCAGCTGAGTTCAGGATGGTCTGAAGCGGGGAGAGTTTGCACTGGGGTAGGCCGGTGAGGAGGGAGTTGCAGTAGTCAAGGCGTGAGATAATCAGGGAGTGCACAAGTAGTTTAGCGGTGTCTGGGGTAAGGAAAGGTGCGTATTTTGGCGATATTGCGGAGGTGGAGCCTGCATGTGTTTGTCAGTGATTTGACATGAGGTTGGAAGGAGAGGTTAGAGTCCAGAATGACCCCAAGGACTTTGGCTTGCGGGGCGGGATTGATGGTGGTGATGTTAGTAGTGATGGATAGGATGGGGGGGGGAGCGCGCGGGCAGGAGGGAAGACGAGAAGCTCGGTTTTGGAGAGGTTGAGTTTGAGGAAATGGAGCGACATCCAGTCAGAGATGTCGTTTAGGAGGTGAGTGATGCGGGCGGAGAAAGTGGAGGTGAGGTGAGGTGAGGGGTGGAGAGGTAAATTTGAGTGTCATCAGCATAGAGATGGTAGTTGAAGCCGTGGGAGTGTATGAGTTTGCCAAGGGAGGAGGTGTAGATGGAGAAGAGAAGGGGTCCAAGGACAGAGCCCTGGGGGACCCCAACAGAGAGGGGGAGGGAAGGGGAGGTGGCACCATTTGTAGGAAACGCTGAAGGAGCGTCGGGATAGGTAAGAGGAGAACCAGGGCAGAGCGAGAGCGGTGTCTCTGACGCCAAGGGAGAATAGTTTATTAAGGAGGAGGGGGTGGTCAACTGTGTCGAAGGCCGCGGAGAGGGTCCAGGAGGAGGAGGACAGAGTAGTCGCCTTTGGCTTTGGCGGTAAGTAGGTCGTTGGTGATTTTGAGGAGGGCGGTTTCGGTGGAGTGTAGGGGACGGAAGCCGGACTGTAGTGGATCAAGGAGGTTGTTGTCAGTTAGGTGGGCGCTTAGGCGGTTGTAGACTAAGCGCTCCAGGAGTTTGGAAGTGAGTGGCAGCAGGGAGATGGGTCTGAGGTTGTTTGGGTCAGAGGGGTCCAGGGAGGGCTTTTTGAGTATGGGGGTGATGATGTGCGCATGCTTTAGGGGGGAGGGGAATACGCCGGTAGAGAGGGAGAGATTGAAGATGTGGGTGAGGGAGCAGATGAGGGAAGAGGGGGGTGACTGGAGGAGTCGAGAGGGGATAGGGTCTAGGGGGCAGAGTGAGGCGGGCTTCAGAGAAGACCCTGGTGACTTCCTCAGTGGTAGCGGGGCTGAAGGAGTGCAGAGCTGGTGGGGTTACGGTAAGCGGGGTCTTGGGTGTGGAGGGGGGCAGTGCGGTTGCGAGGTCAGAGGAGGGAAGAGATGAGGGGGAGATAGGGGGGGGGAGGCTAGGTGGGGAGGTAGATTGCGAGTTGACTATGTCCTGACGGATAGCATCAATTTTATTGTGGAAATGAGTGGCAATCTCGTGGGCGGTGAGTGAGGTACTGAGTGGAGGAGGGGGGGGAGAGAGCAGGGAGTTGAAGGTGGAGAAGAGTCGGCGAGGGCAGGAGGAGAGGGTGTTAATCAGGTTTACGAAGTAAGCCTGCTTGGCGGCGTGGAGGGAGGAGGTGTAAGTGAGGAAGGCAGATTTGTAGAGGGAGAATGAACGGGGGGAACCTGGTTTTGCGCCATAGTCTCTCCAGCGCACGACTGCGCGACGTTTGAGGCATTTAGTGTGGTCGTTCTGCCATGGTTGGAGCGGTCTGGGTTTGATGTAGCGTGTGGTTAGGGGTGCCAGAGAGTCTAGGGTAGCTGATAGTGAGTCGTTGTACGTGTTAGTGGCTAGGTCAGGACAAGACAGTGGAAGGATTCTGTCGTGTAGGCGGTCGGCAGCTGAGTGGAGGGGGGCCGGGTTCAGGTTGCGAAGGTTGCGGCTGGTGATGGTTTGGCGCTCTGGGGGGGGGGAGTTAGGGGAAGGGGAGATGGAGAACGTGAGGAGATGGTGGTCGGAGAGAGGGAAGGGGGTGTTAGAGAACTGGTTGAGGGTACAGAGGTGGGAGAAGACGAGGTCCAGGGTGTTCCCAATGATGTGGGTGGAGGATTGAGTGTGCTGTGTTGTGAGCGCGAAGGAGGAGGTTAGGTGGAGGAATTGGGAAGTAGCCGGGCTGTTGTCATTGATGGGGATATTGAAGTCCCCGAGGATGATGGTTGGTAGCTCAGAGGAGAGGAAGAAGGAAGCCAGGCAGCGAAGTCATCCAGGAAGCGGGGGTATGGATCCGGGAGGCCTGTAGATCACTGCGATCCTTAGGGGGGTGGGTGAGAAGAGCCGGATGCAGTGAGCCTCGAAGGAGGAGAAAGTTAGGGAGGGAGGATTAGGGAGGACCTGGAAGGTGCTCAGCGGTGATAGGAGCAGGCCGACCCCACCACCTTTGTGACCGCTCAGTCTTGGTGAATGGGACCAGACGAGACCTCCATAGGAGAGTGCCGCAGGGGAGGTGGAGTCAGTGGCCTGTACCCAGGTTTCGGTGATGGCTAGGAGGTTAAGGGAGCGGGGAGATAAAGAGGTCATGGATGGCAGTAAGTTTGTTGCAGACCGAGCGGGCGTTCAGGAGTGCAACCCGAGAGAGGGGGGATGGATGCGGGGAGAAGGGGCACAGATATGAGGTTGAGGGGGGGGTACGGCAGCTGGCGGGAGCAGGGGGGTCCCTAGAGGAGGGGTGAGGGTGGTGGCGAGGGGCCAGGGTTCGGGGAGATGTCCCCAGCAGATAGGAGAAGGAGAAGGGTGAGGAAGGTGGCATGGGAATGGGAAGTGTAGGAGCGTGTGGGTCTGATAGTGGTGGCACGTGGGTCGACGGGGGGAGTGGAGTAGCAGGAGGAGGTGGTGAGTGCCGTAGTGGGGAGAGGGGAGTAGTGAAGGGGCAATGTAGAGCTGTTTTGGGGGGGGTAGGCGGGTAGAGGGAGGCGATTTTTGGGATGGTGGAGAGGAAAATGAGGAGGAGGAGTGCAGGAGGCATGTTGGGGTGGGTGCGGTGACAGTTGGGTCAGGGGAGGTGAAGGGATACAGGTCAGGGCAAGGTGTGTGGGGAATCTGTGTTACCATGGGAGAGTCATTTGAGTCCTTCTGTAGGGGTAGAGTGAGGGTGGAGGGCGGCAGCTGGTTGGCAGCAGTCTGTGGGTGCAGTAAGCTGGCGACCATGGGTGCTGTGGCATGTCTTCAGTGGGTACGGTGGTTCGGTTCGGCTAGTGGAGGGGTCGTAGGGTGCGATGGCTGGGGGTGATGGTAGGCACGGCGACTGGTGATGCTGGCGGCTCGGTGACTGGGGTTGTTGAGGCCAGGCGTCGGGTGCTGAGGGCTCGGCGTCGTGAGGCGCTGAAGGTGTTGAAGGATCGTCATCAGAGTCGAGCGGGGCGTTGCGGTAGCGCGATCGTCGGCCCTGCGTGGTTTGTGCTCAACCGTGATCTGTTGCGGCCGGTAGGAGAGACCGCTAGCAGCTTCAAGGGTCGTGGTGGGCCATTAGTCGCCGGGGCGTCGCCAGAGGGAATAGCGTGCCGGAAATCAGGGTGCTGGGCGAGCGTTCCCTGGTGTGGTGGCTGGCTGGTAATCCAGGTGGGGTGGTGGGCAGGGGATCCCCGGTGGGATGGTGGCCGTGCTATCCCTGGTGGGGTAGTAGCGATCCCTGGAGGGATAGTGGCTTAGGGTCCCTGGTGGTTTGGGGTTTCAGGTGGATGGTGGGATCCCTGAGTGAGTGAGTCCCTGGAGGCTGGCGGTGTGATGGTGGTTGGGCTCCCTGGTGGGTAGTGGGCGCCCCTGGTGAAGTACCTGGTGTCCTGGAGCGTCGGTGGATCCCTCCTGGGTTAGCAGGACCGTTGGTGGTGGTGGTAGCTTCCCGGAGCAGCGGAGGCGTCCCGCCGCGGCCGCGCAATTCCCGCCGCGATTCCAGCCACGGCTGGCAGGAAACACCGCGGCTTCGGGTGCCGCGGTAGGCCTCAGGCTGCTGCGAACCGCCGGAGCTCCGCTGGAGGGACGGAGTGACTGTGGGTGTTGGTGGGGACCTCGGCAGCAGACACAGGGGCCCGGATGGGCCCTGATGGCAGCGGTAGGGGCGCAGGGGTGATCCCCTGATCGGCGGGGACCGAGGAGCGGAGTGGCAGTAGTCCGGGCTGATGTCCGGCGATCCTGGTCGGTCCGCGCCAGAAATCGAGGCCGCGGCTTCAGGTGCCGGGTAGGCCGCAAGTCCCGGAGCTCCGGGAGAAAGGTCCAGTGGCCTTCCCTGGCTGGCGAACAGGGACCGGAGGGTCGTGGGGCCCCCGTCAGGGTCCGCTGCCGCCCAGATGGCAGCGGATTGGGGCCGGGGGAGCAGGAGCGAGCTCGCCGAGACACGTCCGTCTCGCCGACGACGTCCGGATGTCTAGGGGATGCAAATCATTTAATATACATGTACTGGGATTTTTTTTAGCAAAGACATGTAGCAGAATAAATTTTGGCCTAAATTTATGACAAAATTAGATTTTTAAATTTTTTTTACTGGACATGTTTAATAGAATAATGTCAAAAATTTTGTAGTTTGCTCAAAATTGTTGGTCTTTATTTTTATAGAGCAAACAATAACAAAACTTACAGGCGGTCAAATACCACCGAAGGAAAGCTCAATTCATGGGAAAAAAGGATGTAAATTTCATCTGGGTGTAGCGTTGCATGACCAAGCAATTTTTAGTTAAGTAGCACAGCGCCGTAACGCAAAAAATGGACTGATCAGGAAGGGAGGTAAATCCTCAGGATGGTAAGTGGTTAAATTTACAAAGGGCAAGCTTAGTTACATGTACAGTATTTATCCATGTGTCACATCCGGGGGTTAAATATTTTTCAATATTCAAATAACAATAAAAATCTGAAAGAGTTTGATCCATTCCCAATGGTACTCTAAACTAGACTGAAGTTCAATTTTAGGCCTCATGCACACAGGACGTTAAAAAAAAACTGTCCTCCTGGCAGTAGCATTTTTCCAGTAAAAACGCCTGATGCTCGCAAAAGTATCTAACGCTTTTACAAGCGTTTAGGCGCATTTAGAAGCGTCAAACGCTTGGGTGTAAATTCATTTCCTTAGCCAGAATGATCATTTATTCTGGCCATTGAAATGAATTAACACTCAAGCGCTAAACATTCCTAGCGTTTAGACATGTTTAGATGTGTTTAGCCCCATCAAGCAAAATACTGCTGTTCTTGGACGCACTGACCCTGGGTTTTTTTCCTGCTGGTAAACACTACTGCTACTAAAAGCTTCTAAAAGTCTATGTGCATGGACACATAGGATTCCATTTGGAAGCAGTAAAAAAAATGCCTGATACCCCTAAAAGTGGCTGCAAAAACGCCCTGTGTGCATGAGGCCGTAGCCTCCCTGGCGGTTATTCCCGAGTGTAACTCGGGGTAAAGTTTCAGTACCACAAGCGGTAACCCCGAGCTACACTCGGGCTTACCGTGCTGTGCTGCTCCGGGATCTGTTCTTCTCTTACCTTGTCCTGCGCTCCCGCAATGTCCCTCCTGCAGTGTCCCCTGTAATGTCTTCCGGCGGATGCTGGCATCTGTCATCTGGGTTCCGTCCCCTGCGAGCGTCGGGACGTACGGGGATGGAACGGCGGGAAATTTGAAAATGACAAAAAGTGACATTCACTAAATACACTAAAATCACATAGTAAAACATTACTGTATCAAACCATTTCACATACATTTTGTCCCTAGTGTTTTGTACTGTGCCCTGCCTGTATATTTAGCTTTCTTTCTGCCTGGAAACTGAGAAATGTCCATGGCGTCCAAAAAGCGTCCCTTAGGTCAAAAGCAGTTTTAGACCAGCTAGAGAACAGCGATAGTAATTCAGAATCACTTGCAGAATTGAGTGATAATGATTCGTGGGGAAAGACGTCATCAGACACTGAAAACGATTTTGCGACTTTGCTCTGTGATGTGCGAACTTGGCACTCTATTTCAAATTTCAGTGTTTTTGGTTTGATTATATTATTGAATTAAATGTATTAATATTTTTTATGATTATTTATTCGATTATAATTTATGATTTTGTGTTTCAAATTGTAACATACCAGGGATGTTTACTAGACTCTTGTTCGGACAGATTTCAGTGAGTTATTCCTAAAAATTACAGGCCTACAATAAAAAAAAACTATTTCCATGCAAAAAAAATGTACCACTTTGAGCACAGAAATATGGACATAATCAGACCGCTAGGGAGGTTAAAGTAAACTTGAAAGTTTGCCTGTGTTAACCCTCTTTCATCCTTAGAGCCCATTCACAATATGTGCAGTTACCTGTGTTTTTCCTCATGGATAAACACAAGTACTGTAATTGCAATGTTACCCAGAAAACAATAGTTTTTTGGTATCATGTTCACACCAGAATGCAGCTTCAGCAGCTCCCTTATCCCTCTTATAACAGTAGCCAAAACACAAATCCACCAAAGTGTTATTCTCCTGAGCAGAAACGTTCACTGCATACCTGGGCTCAGCTTTATTTACTGCAGGGCTAACAGTTTATCTCAATCTCCCATTGCTACAAGCTGCCTGAGTGCTAATGTGTTCAGTTACCAGTGCACTGCTTGTTGAATCTATCACCCAAACTGGAGACCCAGATACAGACTGTATATCTATTGGCCTTCATTTATGCCATTTTATAAACTTGTACAGTGAAAAGTTACCTACCAATCTTTGCTCCTTTAATTGATATCATTCATGCCTGCTTTCTGAACCTGTCAGCATACACTGGAGATCAAGGTACGCTGCCAGCCTAGCAATAAATAAGGCTGAGCTTGTGTATGCAGTGAATATTCTGTTCTCATGTGAGGAGATTAACACTTTTCTTTTGTGCATTTGTTTGATTGGCAGGAATGGTTCACATGTGTGGCAGTGACTAGCACTCCTCTGAAAAGTAATCCATGCTTGGATCACTTTTCAGTGCTGCTTGACAGATGATGAGGTGGTGATACACCACCTCATTCTGTATGGTTTAACCTGATAATTGCCATACTACCATGCAGGGGCAGACTGACAACTCATGGGGCCCCAGGCAATAGGAGATCATGGGGCCCCTGTGTCCTGGCCCAAACTCAAGAAAGCCTATGAAAAAGGTACCAGGGGCATCTCTTGGGGCCCCCTATTGACCCCGGGCCCTCGGGCGGTGCCCGAGTTTCCAATTGGTCAGTCCACCCTTGCTACCATGCCATAGTTGCACCATTGAAGTACATTAGTCGCCCTGCCCACCAAAAGCTACATGCTGTTAAAGTTTTGCTACAAAGCACAACATAATGGCTGCACTATGTGTACAACTGGTAGCAGCTGTATGTTTAGTGTTCAGGCAGGCAGTTGGGATTGGTAAAACAGTGGCTCACCCCCCTCATTTTACTTTCCCCCGGGTGGCATTTACATCTGTCTGTCTATAGGGCTGGATGGACCTTCTGATCAGTCCATTTCTTGACACCATAAATTTATTTTTCTCACTTGATCTTATTTTATTTGACACACTCCTGAGGAAGCTTTGGTTGTTGGAGCAAAACATGTAGAGGCTTTTTTTCTGGGTCACTTAGGAGCACTGTTTATATATTTTTGAATATACATGGTACTTTCTCAAAAAAAGTTTTTTTTTTTTGGAGTAAGAAGTACAGCGCACATCAGTGCAATTTGTTGTATTCCTCAAGACAGAGAGGTATTTTTTATTGGATATGGTGATATATGGGGCTTGTCCATTAGAAGCTTGATTTATGGCTCGTGGATGAGTGTACCTGTACTACATATCTGTAGCAAGATAGATTACATGACTTATTGCAATCTCTTGTGGGCTATTATCTTCCTAAATGTAGGTTAGATGGCAATATATTGAGTGAATCTGCTTTATACACTACAAGTATGTGGTCATTATGATTTGATTTCTTCTTCCATAGTTCCATCCACAGTGTAGCTGCATGGTGAAACTTATATTTGGCACGTCGCTGATATTATGTTGAATGGGATGTATATTATAATGGAGAAAGAATTGCACAAAATACAGCTTCCTAAATAGTGTGCCTTTTCTCACTCTATAGGTATTTACAATTTACAGTAGAAACATACTTTTACATAAATCATAATAAAGTTTATATTTGAAATAATTGGCTACTTTGTGTGTAGGGATGCGTTCCCTCGTAAAGTGATTTGTTCAGATCAGGTCTCCCTGAATAAATGACAGGTGGATCTGATTGCCCATTTAAAGGTACCTTAAAAGTGCTCCCCTCCTTTTGTCTTTTAGATTCATGTTGTTTCTAAGTCAAGGGAGTCTCTCAGTGCAGCTACTTGAAGATTAAAGGATCACGGATTCTCTTAGGAATATGTTTCTGTTGGAAAATGTTCTCACTTTCCACACTATTATCTTATAACTCCCTTCTATTTGCAAGGTGATCTACAGTATATATAGAATCTCTGTGTATAGAATATTTTATAGGAGTGACTGCAGTGTCACTGTTATCAACAGGGGTTTTTTTGTGTGGTACTTTGGAACCTCCACCTCCAACACTAGCACTGTGCTCACTGGTGTCACTTGTTCTAAAAACAAATACCGATTTCCTGTGCTGGTTTCTACAACTGACACCGTGCTTCTTACACCCATTACATGGTAAGTCACTGGGGGTAGGGTCGGTGGAAGAGTTCTGTACTGGGGTAGGGGGGAAGAGAGAGTTATGTAGTGGCGAGGGATCTCTGCACTGGTGCAGATGGGGGAAGAGCTTTGTAGTGGGGGGGAATTTGAGGGAACAGCCCTGTACTGGGTAAAGTTGAGAAGCAGCATTTTGGTGGTGTTTCTTCCACCACAGACTCAGGGACATATTCCTTCCAATGACACCACCAACTCAGGGACATTTTCATCCCAGTGACACCACCAATGGTGGCACATTTTTCCTTGCAGTGACACCCCCAATGCAGGTACACAGGTACATTTTTCCATTCAACGACAGGTACATTCAGGTACATTTTTTTCATTTCAGTGAAATACAGAGACATGTTTTCTTTTTTTGAGTGACCCACCAACCCAAAGACAATTTGACACTGTTAGCCCCATATTTGTGCACCAATTTTGAACCTTTCCATTTGCTGCAGTGTACCCAAAATTTTGGTACTATTTTATTGCATGTCACAAAAATGACAACCATTTTGGTGTGCGCCGATCTACTGGCCCTATCCCCTTCTTCATCCAACAGGGGATGGGGGTTGGTGGGGAAGATACGTGGGTGGAAGCATTTTCTCATTTTCACCCCAAGCATTAGCTGACCTTGCACTGGGCTACAGACTACTGTGGGTTGAAAGGTTTTCTGTACACATGACTGGTTTGTTTCAATTAAAGGTGATTTTTTTCTTTACAGGGATTTCTTTTTGGGCACTGGTAGGAATTTGGTATTTTAGGGTAGTGTACTGACTCTGGCTATATATTGCTTAAAGGGCATCTTCCTTTAAAAGTCCCTTTTTTATTTGTAAATGCCATTAGTGACCTTCCAATTGCGGATAGAAGGAGGGCCTGAAAACCCCAGTCCTAACACCACCACTTTATTTTGATGCATTAACCTCATTAAAAACAGTATAGAATCTTTCTTCATGTAGTTAGGAAAGCCCTTTGTGACTTCATTCCATCTCTTAGGATGATCCATACAAGGAATTTATTTACCTAGTTTAGGACTAAACATTAACACTATGATTATCATGGCTGTTTGTGGTCTTTGATAAACTAAACATTTAAACATATTTTTTATTATTTAAGTGGTAAACTACACAATTTGATCTTTTTTTAAAGGATACGTTCACCATTTAGCAAAAATAACAAATGCAGGGTTTTTTTTTCCAGGTTAAAAAATGTGCATTTTCTATTTTTCTGTTTTTGGAGCCTGGAAAACTCTGTGAATTAATTATGCGGCCATGTGGGCAGAGCCCCACATTGCCATGCTGTTTTCAAAAAAGTGACAGCTAGTATGGGCAACTTCTGCTGGCACAGGGAGAGAGGGTAGTGGTGCCTCAGAGCTCAACAGAGCTGTGGTAGTGCACTGAGAGCTACACGCCGACAGCCACAAAGGCTGTCAGGAGCTGCAATCTTCCCATTCACAGAACACTTTGAATGAATGATGTGACTGGATGGGCGAGCCCCTCACAGCCCCTTTTTTAAAAAACTATGACAGCTAGTGGGGGAGGGAAGGGTGGATCTGGGGCAGAATATGGGTGTAATATGTAACGTTAAAAAAAGGTGAACTTATCCTTTACTATGTAAACATTTAAAACATAAGTAAATGAAGAGTATAGCTTCCATTTAAATGGGAACTGAACAAGGGACGCTATGGCCAAAAATGACAGGCAAAAGACTAGTTATTAGTTTTGCTGTGGTTTCCCTGCAGCTGCTTTTTTTCTCTTTTACTAACCTTCCATGACTTGTTCTGCGCTGCTTCTGTTTGTGGAAGTGGGCATCTAGGTAGAGACAAGTTTGTTCTTCCCCATGTTAGAGCCTCCAGCAAGGAGACCAGAGTGCAGCACAGTAGTAATATCACCAAATCTCACTCCAAATCTTCTTAAACTCAGAGAGAGCGGTGTCTTAGATCACTGTGCAGGAGTACCTAGGCACACACAAACCAGGAAAAGTATTGCTGTTCATCAGGAGGATAGACATACATCTTAGTCACGATTATTATTTCTAAATGTTACTTATAAAAAAGCA